TGTATTCTAGAAATGTCAAGGTCATTTATAGGAAAAATATCAATATTTAGTTAGTTGGCTTTTTAAAACACTTGCCTGATGATTTGACCCTTCATAACCAATGATAAGGTGACTTACGGTCAAGGTCTGCATGGGTCAAGGTAATTTCAAGGTCAATATCTAGGAATTTGACGTTTAAGGCAATTGAGAACAATTGTGACCTTTGCGACCAATGATAAGGTGGCCTGATTTCAAGGTCATTTCAAGTCAAAAGTCAATATCTAGGTAGTTGGCTACTGTGGGTCTACAGTATACAATTGTTGACCTCTCTGAAGTATATAACAGTTCTTGGAGGTGACATGTACTGTTATATGCCATATAAGCCATCGCATGGTTTTCATTCTATAATTAGCATGTCATTTTTATCATAAATTGCACCATACAATTTCGTAACCTTTTACGTTAATCTTAAACTCATTTTGCAATACGCATTACCTATACATCCGTAAAAAACATACGGATAGGGATGGGTACACGTATATTTTACACTAATTTTAACCTCCCTTATGATGTCACAATTGTGTAACGGCTACAGTTCGAATTTTCTTTTACGGACGCTTTAAAAATTTTCTAAATTGTGTAAGATTTTGAAGGCGAAGGGGACAAGCAATGAGTTAACCTTTATTTGACCTTCTAATTTAGGTCTGATTATAAAAAGAGATTAACTGCACAATATTGTCCTGGCGAAATTTACAAAACAATAACCGGTTTGTTGATTTTACAAATAATATTCAAATAAGAGCTGATTTTCGAGACTTGAAAAAATGTAACGCATCGATTTTTTACCACAAATTCCATACATATCAAGTTTTACTAACGCCTCAAGTGAATTTCCTGAGCGTTTTTCAAAATTCAAAACATTTTAGAAATACTGTCTTCGAGATCTTGCTACCCTGTGAATTTTATCATGATTGAATAAGGATTTTTAGGTTGACGTTATATGGCTGTTTGATACTGCTCATTGTTTTGTTTCGGTATTTTGACGCCATAATGTTACACCTTATATAATAGGATAGTTTCTAAATAGCAGAAAAGCAATGGAATCTAGTGCTGCAATCTCTTATTCAGCTTTTAATATGGGCTAGAGTTCCATTCACTTACATCAGTCTAAGGTATGGCACTTTTCCACCGCATTATGTAGGTCACAAATTAAGGTACCAAATGTACCCGACCTCAAGTGACCTACATAAGTTTTTTGTGTTTTACTCTAATATTCTGATGTATGGAACATTGTTGCCATCTTTATATTGAAGCAGCTATCATTCCCAACAATATGATACCAAAATGTCATGTGACCTCCACTTAAACATTTCTGAGGAACATGATACAGATTTTTTTGCGAAATTACTCAACTTTCTGTTTCATCGTGCCCTATATGTTATATACTATGGTAAAGTTCATTCTTTGTAGAATATGGTGCTGTTATCAAATCAAGTAACACTTTTAAGAATTAAGAAAAAATCAAACTAATCAGATCAACCTTTATGCTACTTCTAGTAAAACATGGTGATGTCCTGACCTAGTTTGAGTTGGGCACATTTGCACCCAAAGTTTATCTAATTGATATCAAATTGGGCACATTTGGAAATTGGAAGAGAGTCAATTATAAAGTCATTAACTATTGAAGTGAATTCCAACTTGTATGATAATCTACATATACCATGTAGACTATTCTCAGTAGTATAATACAGTATGTGGGTTATATTAGTACATGTGGTCAGTGGGAACTACAATACTAGAAAGGTTTCGTTAAAAGTTGTTTCGAATATGTTGACATCAACTTGTACTTTAAAGGGTCTTGTGACACTAAAATCAATTTGAAATTGATTTTCATAAATTGTACAAGTTGACATAACCCTAAGATTAAAGCTGAGCTATGTCCATTTTGCTATTTTTTTCAATGGACACAAATTTCTCTATTCGTTTTTTTTTCAAAAATAAATTCAAATCTCAGTTTAAAAATTGTAATATAGGCTGTTCAATAAGTAATGACACTAAGGCTCTCATTTTGTCAAATTTTGCTTGTTTTATCTCATATTTTCACCATATGTTGAAAATACATTTGTCTCTTTATATGAGGAAAATCACCAGATATAACTAATAATAACCAGTAATTTGGTTGCCATAGCAACATGAGGATACAGCATGATGGCCCATCAGTACATGTTTTATACCCCTATCTTTCTTGAGTATAGTGGATTTCGAAGCATAATTTTTGTGTTTATGTTTTATGTTTATGTTTTGTGTTTGTTTTGTGTGTATGTTGCTATGGTAACTAAATGGTATGACATCACAGTTAATTTCTCAAAGTAGGGAATCCAATGAGTCATAATGATCATAGACTCTCAAAAAAGGGAAAAGTCCTGAAAACTGCAAAAACATGAGTTTGGCACTACAGCAAAGGAGTTCAATAAAAACATTTGTATTGCTTGGGAAACAAGCAAACGATATAGTGCAGTATTTCCAGGAGGCTTATGGTAATGACTCTATGAGTAAGAGATCAATTTTCCGGTGGTGCAAAATGTTCAAAGAAGGAAGGAAAAGTGTGGATGATGATGATCGCAGTAGGAGGCCAAAGTATGAAAACAATGATGAAAAAATTGAAGAGGTTAAAGGCCTGATTGACACAAACAAACTTCTTTGAACATTTTTGAACATAAACATAAAACATAAACACAAAAAGTATGCTTCGAAATCCACTATACTCAAGAAAGATAGGGGTATAAAACATGTACTGATGGGCCATCATTCTTATCGATTTGGATAATTCTTTGTCACATGGTGTAATTAAAACAATTTGATTGGTTAAACTTAAACATAGAACAAAGTTAAATTGTATTTTTGAATTTTTTTGGAGTTTTTTTATGGACAATTTGACACTGAAAAGCAGGCTATTGAGAGGAGATAAAGGTAAGGGAATATCACATGAAGAAAGAGGATGATTTAAATAGTGGAAATCTGTGGAAATCTCAATTTTTCAAAAATGGCACTTGGGACATTATTATTCTCATACGACGATAAATAGTTTCCAAGTTGTAAAACAGTGATTGCAAATGTGATATTCGTTGCATTGTTGTTATTTGTACATTATCAACTCAAAACCTAGCTCTTGTGGCATTGTGTTCTTCAAACAAGACCCTTTAACGTGGTTCATAACATGAACGAGTTCCTATAAAATATTTCCTAAATATGTAAAGTATCTAATGAAACAATTTGACTAACATTTTGATACACTTAGCAATCCAATCTGTGTTAGAGATTAATCGAGGGAGCAATTTGGTTGTATAACAAACTCTCATCCAGTATTTGCATTCACATCTGCGTTATGTAACACACTTGATTTTTATTCACAAGTACAAATTCACCAAATAACTTATATCAAAAAGCTCTCGATTGTTGAATTCAGCTTGTATTGAAAGATTAATTTCAATAAAATGTACAATTACACATCCCACAGGTGCTAATCAATCCCTTAAAGATTTCTGACCGTTTTGCATTTACAAAAATATCATAATACATAAGAACATAGTCTTGTGTGATCTGATTCCTAAAGCTTCCTGGAGAGTTAAAACCCAAATCTTTAAACTCCATCTGATCTCAAAGCTGACTTTACTTTAGGTTCACAGCCGAGTGATCTTACCCTGTTGTGTACCCACGTTTTTGTGGAAAGATGATTAAAAGTGGCTTACCCTAAAGAAATCAATAAGCACCTCTTTTGTGCTGTATTATATTATTCACTAGATTGTTTTGTGAATTTAAGATGCAATTTGGGACTCTTTGACAATGTGTTAAAAAAAACAGTAGCAAAGGGAACATAAAAGGCTGACATTTTGAAACAACATGTATATAATATTGATACAACATTGTAACTTACTTTTTTATTAAACAAGCCCGTCTGATTTTGATTTTTACCTTTAAATGAAGCTCAAAGAAACAGAAGCCCTTCACTACTTTGCCAATGGAAATCAAATAATTTAATAGACATTTAATTACTCTCGTGATCAAAACACATAATAATAAGAACAACAAACACTATGAATGTGAATTATAACTGACTGACTTAAAGAGGTCTGAATATGAACATCATGAAGAATCAGTTGATACATGAATTGAAACGCTGTCAAACTTTCAATATTGTCAGTTAATGTAAGACATAACAGAATCACATTCTATACTCTATACTATTGTCCCCAGTTTCGTGCGACGTGTATTTACGTTTTTTATTTGTCAAGCCATTTTGGCAATGCCAATTCTCACGATAAACGAGATTTAGCCAGTGACGTCAGTCTATTTGTAAACAAATAACACGTGGAGCGGACGGAGCAACATTACAGAAGCGTATTGATAAATTCCATTTGTGCGGGAATTTATTAGATCTAGTCATTTATTATCATTATCCCGATTAATTTTCTTCATTTATAGTAAATAGAGCGGAAATATTCATGAAGAAGGCCGAGGTAATCAAGTGGTCATGTGTTGTCAAAGTTCCAAAATTTGCATATCTCGTTTGGATCTCGTGAACTCAAACGTCCTTGACATTGATTTCGCGATCTACTTATGAACACATCCTGAAGTTTTGGTGAGTCTGAACATTTCATTATTTTATATCAACTTGTACCCGCCTTATACAAATATTTTTGCTTCTAGTTTAAGATGAACATCTCTTCAACATATTCACCAATTTTCAAGGTGAACATTCCTGTAATAAACGAGAAATTAATGTGCAAAAAATATCACCGCGATTTCCACAGGAAATATATCAATCATAACAGACCGAATATTATATTCGGTCTGTTGGATACATACTAAATATACCCCGGTGAAATGTTGACTTTGTTTACAGTTTATAGAAGGCGTGAATACAGTTATGTTCGAATATTTGATAACGACCTATGTATAAATACATTCAATTGGTCAGTAGGGTTTGATTGCATGAACGTTATGAAACGAACTCAACTTACTTAAGATCCCAGCTCATAATACCGATATGGTTGCCCCCTGTGCTACCATATTCGATTGTCTGGGCACTGATTCCATCAACCAATGGCTGTACTACGATGTGGGGGTCTCTTTTGATGTGGGAAAGAATTTCCACCAGCCAATTAATATTTGCTTCTGTATGAGCATCAAGGAATACAATGACGTCACCAGTGGCGGCTCGGGCACCTTGCATCCTAGACCTGATTAGTCCTTCTCTTACATCATGGCGGATTAATCTCACCTTTGGTAAATGTACCAGATAATCCCTTAGTGGATCGTGAAGATATTCTGCCGCACTAGCATCATCCACTAGTATTACCTCTGCCAAAAGTTTTGGAGGAGACCTATTAAGTATGCTATGTATGGTTCGCAATAACATAGAGAGGGGTTCAAAATAAAATGGTATAATTACACTGGCCGTAGGCAAATCATCAATATTATATTGCAGCTTTAGACATTCATAAGGTCTTGTATCGGGAACCATCCTATCTAACGAAATACTGTCACTCAATGTAGCATTCAAGTTATACCTTGCATCAGGGGGTCTTTCGATAGATTTAAACAAAGTTTTTTGAATCCCTGTTAAAGCATGCCTATATTTCGGCCAGTCCTCATGGCTCACGTTTGAAGCTAGTATCAATCCTTCTATATCTCCAAGGTGTGGTTTAGGAGGAGCAACGGGAAGATCAGCTTGAGCTGTTTTAGACGGGCTAAGGTTATTTCGGTGGACACGCTTCTTTACTGCTTCCGGGTTTGAGGTGTTCTTCGGGGGAATAATAGGGTTCGCTGTAATATCTCTAGTGATACCAATTATAGGTTTATGTTTAGGGTTGACGTTATATTTTCCGAGTTTCTGATTCCGTTTTTGGTTGATATAGGCCGACCTCTCGTGGTCCTCTGTTCTCTCGACACTGATCATGAAGTAAACGGTGGTTATAAAAGAGAGAACGAGTAGCCTCAGACCCCATATTTGCACCGACCTTGGCCACATTCTCCAAAGTCTATCAAAACGCATATACATTGAAGTAGTGATCAAAACACGTTGGAATATCAGCCACTTACTACATAGAAGTACGGAATCTCGAAGCTAACCTAGTTCAGAACCTTTTTCCAAATCGGTAGGCTAAAGTAAACTCCATCTAAATGTTACCAAAATCACACTTGGTATAGTAATCTGCTCCTCCAGTATCTCATCGTTTACATGATATCAGTTAGCGCAGTATTTTTCTAGTTTTAAACTGCGTACTTCGTGAAGGGCGTGTATGTACAAATAATTCGTTTGCCACATGTACAGGTACTTGTTCTCTATTTGTGTGCAAATGGTTATATCCCAAATGTAATATACAAACAGCGAACGCTTAAAACTTTCCTTTGTGTGTGATTGAGAGTAACGAGGCAATACGCTTAAAATATCTAGGCTGTTCTATAAATACTTTGCATATTTATCCGATTTGATATTCAGTCCATGGTATGACATATCCAGGACGTCTAATAAAGAAGCTGGTAGCACACTGTAGCGCAGTGACATTTGACCTAATATTAACACCGTCCGTTTATGACCTAATCCGCGGTAATGAGCTTGTTGGCATTATCACGGAATATAACTGATCATTTCAGTAAAATTAATGGTGACCTTACCCTGCGGAAATGGAGATAAAGTTCCACAGTTAATCTGAGCGCGAAACAACAGCGCCCAGTCTCTTGGGAATTGATTTTACTTTTTACAAAATTTATCATAACTTTTTTAAACCTCGATAATCGGAACCGATTTCACTTGTCAGTTACGGGTATTTTAGTTGTACACGAATTGAGCGTATCAGTATGGTTGACTTACATACTTACCGCTGAGAAACATCTTCACGCCCGTCGAGTTTATTTCTAGCGCCGTAAATTATGAACCAATCGGAACCTTACTTACATAATGATTTAATGCATCCTTGCTAAAAGAGCAACTCCAAGATCCTTTGCTTGCGCAAGTAAATAACAATCAGAATCCTGCTTACATTTTAGTGTGTTGCATTGAGGTCCTTAAAGTCTCCGATAAATCGGACTACGTATACCGCCGTGTTTACATTAGGGGATTAGAAGAGTTTACTTTTATTTAGGTACAGTATGCAAGCAATATCAATATTAGGCCTTCATGCATGTACTCGTGTGTACAATCAGCATGCCCTTCAATATTATATAAACCAGGCTATTCAAGTACTACATAAAATGTACACTATTTATGTGTGTACTACATGGGAATACGATTCCCTGGGAAACAAAACACAAATACTTTTTATATGTTCAAAATGAGCCATTTGATTGATGCATACACTTAATAGCTCATTAATAACACATACAAAGTATATCTAATAGTAATTTTCAATGTCAATGGTGAAACTTGCCTGTTTACGATTATACGGGAAATCAACATGGGACGAACATTGTTCACCTTCCTGACTTACCTCTGAAGCCTGTACCTTGTAATCTCTTTATATAGGTTAGCGAGAGCGCTGCGCCTGCGCAGTTTTAAACTTTGGCGCACACTTTAAAGAAGTATTCAATTTTTAGAGCAAATTAAAAGGCAAATTGAAGAGACATGTACTGTGTTGGCAGTTATCAACACCCATTGTAGAAACGACAAAATTGCAGTATATTTTGAGAAGGTATACATGATGAATTTTTGGATAATTCTCCAATCTAGGCGTCGGCTTCAGAGGTAGGGACTTATTAAGCTCACACGAATTGCAGCTTACAATCTCACTAATCGCTAATGTATCCCTCCAATGGATGTGTTCAGATACTAGAAGTATAGTATTTGATCAATTGCAAATTGACCCTAGACTAAAGCTATATCCTGCAGATCTGGCATTTTTTGAAAATGTACTGAATGTCAGATGAGCCTATATACGTATTAGACGAGTAGGGATTTGCAAAAAATAAAATAAAAAAGGATCGACTGACCCTGTTGGGTTTCTTGGTATTTTTGGAAAGCTGTGCATCACCACAACATCTTCTACTTAATAAGAAGTTCTGAAAATGGTCCCGTTGCCATGGAAACGGACGCTGAATAAAATACCTGCTATTAACAGTATTCGAATCACCAATAACATGTTTTGTTATATAACTATTCCATTTCTTATCTGTTTTAAATAATCTTGGTACCAAATGAAAGCATATTGAGTGCCCTTTCAGATAAAGTATAATTTATGCAAATCAGCTCATTTGCATATCTTCTGTGACGTCATAATTGTGATTTTTCCTAATATTTTGAGCAAGTTATTAAAATACATGTTATAAATACCCCTTTGAATTAAATAAGTGTAGTAAAGTTGTATATATTCATAAAATACAAATGTAGGAGAACCAGGCTTTATTTTGATATACATAACATATCTCAATCAGTTTAAGCGATATAGCCCAGGTCCTTTTAATTAGTACATAACTGGAAAAATAACAGCAAAAGTCGACCTATTTTATGGTACAACTTGTATTTTACAAAATATGAACTAGACGTATGTAAATTATGGGGGGTTGAGACGGTAAACGCCGATATTAGCAGGTAGACCGCAGACCCTACTGGGTATCTTTAGAAAGCTAAGGCTCTACTATATCTTCCACATATTAAGAAGTTCTGAAAATGGCGCCGTTGCCATGGAAACGGACGCCGTTTAAAATACCTGCTATTAATAGTATAAATATCACCAATAACATGTTTTATTTTATAACTTCTCCATTTCTTATCCATTTTAAATAATCTTGGTACCAAATGAAACCATGTCGAATGCCCTTTCAGAAAAATTATGATTTATGCAAATTAGCTCATCTGCATATATTTTGTGACGTCATAATTGCAATTTTCCTATTTTTTTTAGCAAGTTATTAAAATACATGGGATAAATAACGCCTTTAAATTATATAATTGTAGTAAAATTGAATATCTTCATTGAACACAAATGTAGCCTAGGCAGGCTTTATTGAGATATATAGATCATATTTTAATCAGTCTGGGAGATATAGCCTACATCTTTTTAATTAGTACATAACTGGAAAAAATACAGCAAAAATAGACCTACTTATGGTATTTTACAAAATATAAACCAGTCTCATATAAATTATGGGTGCTGAGATGGAAAACGCTGATATTAACAGGTAAACCCCAGACCTACTGGGTCTCTTGGTATCTTTAGAAAGCTAAACATCTTTACTCAATCTTCCGCATAATGAGACATTCTGTAATTGGTCCCGTTGCTATGGAAACGGACTAATAAAAACAAATAAAAATAATACACTAGGTATTGGCAATATCCTGATCATGAAAAAAATGTTTGTCTCATAACTTTCCTATTTATTATCTATTTTGAGTAATATTGGAATCAAATAAAAGCTCGTTATTTCAGTTACAGTGCAATCTATGCAAATTAGCTCATTTACATATCCTTTGTGACATCATAATAGTTATTTTTTCACATTTTGAGCAAAGTATCAAAAAATGTTATAGAAAATTAAATATTTGCAATAAGAGTGTAATATATTTATGAATAAGATAAATGTAGGTCAAACAAGCCTTATAGTCTGGCAGAAATATAGGGTATTTTGACATTCAATCGTTTTCTTCGGATTACAACTTATCAACATGAATATAGGATTGGGACCTCAAAACCACCGGATGTCGGAGCGGCACCTTGGGCAACTCTCTACAGAGCATTTCTTATACCCCCCTGATAAAATATACAGGGGGTACTATAAGACACCCCCATATCTCAGATACTAATATATATATTAACTTGAAATTTTCAGGAATTAGTTTTAGTATGATGCTTGACATGTATGAAAAAAATCAAGAAAAAATCTTAATCCATTGCTATAACAACAGTAACAGAACACTATTTGTTACCGTAGAGATGCATTATTTTGCAACATGCAACATTTCTTCATATTCTTGATTCTTAAACTAGCATATAGTATTACACTAGTATATAGGACACTGCATATTTTATATGTAGTATATACATGTATATTAAATGAAATCTAATGAATTCATACAGTAATGAGGTTGGCATATAGTCTAGACTTTTGGCATGATGTCTTAACATTAACCATTAGTTTTCCTCATCTGAGCAATATGTTTTTTGCCGAAAAAATTAAGAAAATCGGTTGATAAACAAGCGAGAAATGAACTTATCAGTGCATGAAAATGGTTCTGAGAAAAATGCATTTCAAAATTTTAGTTCTCATAGAAACCAATGGTACAATGATATCTAAAACATAATTTATTCTTCCTTTTAACCTGGTTAGACAATCAACATTGGTTTTTTATGAAAGTCTAGCATATTTAGAAAAGATTGACATCGAAAATAAAAATCCAATTTTTTTCAAAAAGTTTTTGTTACCTTAGTGACATCACTAATGTTTCAAAATATTTTTGATAAGCTAAAACATCGAAGTCGCCCATTAAATATGACATTTTATTATTGAAATAGTGTGTCTTTTGTTCAATCTATGCATTGGTGTTAAAAATATAATCTTTTTTGAAATGCATTAAGAAATATTTGATGATTAAGAAATTTCAATTTTTTTTAAAAAATGGCGGGAAATTTGAATATTTGAGAAATGAAATGCTCACAACTTTTTTTTCAAAAATCTTTTTTTGTTAAAAAATCTCTAAAATCACTTTTTAAGTCCTGACAAATAGTAAATGAATGATAAAAAAAATATTTTCAAACTTTAGACGGGGACTTTAAACGATTGTGTTGTCTTAGTGCGCAACATTTTTTATATCAGATTCACTAATGTTCCCGTTTTTGCAAAAACATGTTGTTAATGCGAAGAATTTTATTTTTTATTATTCAGAGGATTTGCTCAACTTTCATGCGCTGCAACGCGCATTGTTGGAATCTATGATTAGTGGAAATGACAAAGAGCAGACAATGGCGGAGACAGCAGCAAATCACGGCCTTAGTGTTATCGAACATGATGGTGATGGTAATTGCCTGTTCCATGCATTGGTTAACCAACTGAAGCATCATAGTTGTTGGATTTACACCAGAGCCATAAGACGTCTTGGCTAAAACGTTTTAGGTTAAAACGTTTTACAAATGTAATGTAAATCCAGATTTTCTCAAGAGCTCTCGGCTAATAATATAAGCTAAAACGTTTCAGGACTCTAGATTTATATGTCTTTACGATGGAACAAATTCACAAAAACTCGTGTATTTGAAAAAAACTAAACTCAGTACGCAAGTAAGAAACTGGATATTGTATCTCTGGAGAATGAAAAATGGGAAAATTTGGAGTCATAAGAATAAATTCAAGTAGCATGTCTTATCATGTCTTATATACACGTTATCC